GATTCCGACAGGTTGTGTTTGTGCTGTGTCTTGTGCTGTTTAGCAGGAGTGGTGGAAGATCCCTGCGTGGGCGCCGACTGCCCCAACCGCACCTGCGAGCTGGACAACGGCGGGGAGCTGTGCGGCTGCATCGAGCCCCCGCCCTATGGGAACAGTGAGTCCTCTGCTCCCGGCTGTGGGGTCAGTGCCGAGCTCCACCTTGGGCCGTTATGCCACAGGGGCTTTGGGAAGGGACGTGCCGAGGGCTGTGGCCTCTGCCAAGATGGGTTTCCCTGACCATGCATAGTTCAGGTGGGGAGCAGAGAGCAGGGAACAGCATTTCTGGGGTGCACATTATGGGTGTCTCTGGTTTGGGAGCACTTTGGAGCAGTAGGGGTGTAGGATGGGCAGAGCACACAACAGGAGATGATCCCAGCCCATTTCTGGTGGTGGAAAGAAGTGCCAAGAGGTCATTTGTGATGATCTGAAGTTGTGTCATCTTCTCCTCCAGCCACCCATGACATCATTGATGCTGAGGTGACCTGCAAAGCTGCCCAAATGGAGGTGTCCATTTCGAAGTGCAAGCTGTTCCAGCTGGGCTTTGAGCGTGAGGGGGTGCGGGTCAATGACCGCCACTGCCCTGGCATTGAAGGGGAAGACTTCATCTCCTTCCAGATCAACAACACCAAAGGCAACTGTGGCAACTTGGTGCAGGTGAGCTGGGACTTGGGGCACACGGGGCTGGGAGTGTGGGACAGTCCACTGCAGTCCAGCTCAACTCCAGGCTTGGGGCAGGTCAGCTTTGGAGGTGCTTTAATGGGCTGGGGGTCAAGGAGAACACAAGAAGGTTTTGTAGAGTAAGGATGCAGCTCCAAGCCCCACCATTCCATACCCTTTCTGGCCAGAGTTGGAGGAGCAGCAGGTCCCTTGTCACCCAGCTCATTTAGAGGTGCTCATTAGGAGCAGGGAAGCAGGGACAACTGGAATTAAGCAGTGCCCTGTGTTCCCTCTGCAGTCCAACAGCACTCACATTGTGTACAAGAACACAGTGTGGATCGAGAGTGCCAACAACACGGGCAACATCATCACCCGGGACAGGACCATCAATGTGGAGTTTTCCTGTGCCTATGAGCTGGACATCAAGATCTCCCTGGATTCAGTCGTGCGGCCAATGCTCAGGTAGGAGCAGGGCCCGTTACACAGACGGGTGAGGCAGTGCTGGTTCTGAAGCAAGGCAACAATTTGGGGGCTCAAAACCTTTCCACTGACCGAGCCAGTGTTTTTTGTCATCATTAGTGTGATCAACCTGACGGTGCCGACACAGGAAGGGAGCTTCACCACCAAGATGGCCCTGTACAAGAACTCGTCCTACAAGCACCCGTACCGGCAGGGCGAGGTGGTGCTCACCACCCGGGACGTGCTCTACGTGGGGGTCTTCGTGGTGGGGGCCGACTCCAACCACTTGATCCTGATGCTGAACAAGTGCTACGCCACCCCCTCGCGGGACAGCAACGACAAACTGCGCTACTTCATCATCGAGGGAGGGTGAGCTGCCACGAGCCCCATCGGTCTTCATGGCATTTGGAAGGGTGGTGGCATCAGCTGGGACAAGCACCTTTAGGCCAGTGGGATGGTTGATCAAAATCTGGAAAGGTGAGGAGCAGTGTTGTTAGAGCAGGAGTTAATTTGCTTGGTGTGGACACAGCCAGAAGCCCTGCATGTGACAGAGTACCATGTGCAGAGAGAAGCATTTTCCTTCTGTCAGTGATGCTGTGGACAATACCTAACTAATAATATGGATCATGCACAGGCATTTTGGGAAGCTGGAAATGCCAGAAAGAGGCAGGGCATGACACCCTTGTCCAGACAAGCCATGGCAGGGTCTAATCACTCCACTGTGGGACCTGGGGTGAGGGGTTTTATGGGGACAGGGAGGGTCCCAGTCACAGGAGGGTGGTGCTGAGCATCAGTGCTCTGCACAGGTGCCAAAACATGAAGGACAACACCATTGGCATAGAGGAGAACGGGGTGTCCCTGACGTGTCGCTTCCACGTCACCGTCTTCAAGTTCATCGGGGACTACGACGAGGTTCACCTGCACTGCGCCGTGTCCCTCTGCGACTCCGAGAAATACTCCTGCAAAATCGTGAGTGGGGCGAGCGCAGAGGGAGGGGATGCTTGATGTGAAGGGCTCTTCCAGAGTTCACTGAGCCCTGATGATGTGGCATCGGGCAGGTGACCAGAGATGCAGGGGTGAGGTGGGAGGGTGTGTGTCCCTCTAGGCACGGGGAGGAGATGCTCTGTCACAGCAGGTCACCTTGGGACCTGTGCTCTCTGAGCCTGCTTGCAGGGTGCTGGGACAGGTTGAGGGGCACACAGGGGGCCTGGGCAGAGGCTGAGGGTGACAGAGGTGGTGTTTATCCCCACACAGAACTGCCCTCAGCACGCGAGGATGGCCAGCGCCTTCGCCGAGGAGTCCAAGGAGCAGATCCTGTCAGTGGGGCCTATCCGGAGGAAGCGTGAGTGTGGGACCCCAGGGAGGGCTGGGGGGTTTCTCTGCCACCCCAGCCTCGGGCAGACAAGGACCAGGGCTGTGGGAGCACGGCTCAGGTGTCCCCCTTTGCTGTTTGCATCCAGGATCAGACTGGTGCGAGGACAACGGAGGCTGTGAGCAGATCTGCACGAGCCGGGCGGACGGGCCTTTGTGCAGCTGTGTGACAGGGACACTGCAGGGGGACGGCAAGAGCTGCAGGGGCAAGTATCGGGGTCGGGGTGGGCACAGCAGGGGACTGACACCCCCAGACCGACGGGCTGTGGGGTGAGCAGCGTGGGGAAGGCGGCTGGGACGTGTGGTGTGTCACAGACAGAAGGGTGGGGAGGGCAGGGAGCCAGATGTGCCCTGTCCCTGTCACCTGAGGGCTGTGAGGGCACTGCTGGTGGCTTCTGAAGAGCCGGCAGGCAGCTGCGAGGGAGGTGATGGAAGCTGCGTGGTACAGGGCAGAGTGGAGTAAATGCAGTGAGCCTGGAGCAATGCGGTCGGGCATTTGGGTGGGCACCAGCCTGGCATGGTTTGTCCCAGAGCCCCAGCTCACGTGGCTCTCGTTGTGTTGGCAGCCTCCAGCTCTTCGGGGGAGCACCGTGCCCGAGTGACCCTGCTGCTGGCGGCCCAGCTGTGCCTGTGGCTGCGCTCAGCTCCGCGGCACCTCACCTCGTAGGCGCGGCCCCGCCGCCCTGCCAAAAACTGTTCTCGCGTCAGCCTGAGTCTTTGTAGGGTAGGAGACAGCCCCCCTGCCGTGGCCACGCTGCTGCCCACCCGGCCATGCCACAGGAGGCACAGGGATGTGACCGGAGAGAGGTGGGACGCGGACCCGACGGTGACGTGCAGCCGGCACGGCGGCGGCAGCGGCGAGACCGAGCAGGATGTTTGCCAGCAGCGATGTGGGACTGGGGTTTGGGGGTTTTTTACAGCTTTCCATCACTGATGTGGACTCAAGGAGGGGTTTTGCAGCTTTTCCCCAGGTTCTCCCTTGTGGGGTGTGCTGTAGGTGGCTCACACCACTGTTGGTAGTGTGGGACAGGGTGGAGCAGGAGCTGTCCCCTCACATGGACAGCTGCAGGTCTCCACTGTCCTTGGAGCTGCCACCAGGGTCTTACGAGCTCACAGAGTCAACCAGAGGTAGGTGTTGGGGCACAGGGCATGGCCAGAGCAGTGCATTGCCAACTCTGGATGTTGTGACACCTTGGGACCATGTCACCCTCTGAATCTCTGGAGCAGAGGTGGTGCTGCGGTTTGGTTCAGAGAGCCAAGCTCATCCGTGGGGGTCTGGAAATCTTGGCATTGTGCTGTGGTGGTGACAAGCTGGTGCCAGTAACTGGAAGGAGGTGATTTCTGCTGGGCAGGAACAAGAGTCAGAGGAAGGAGGGGTGAAATTCCCTGCTGCGTTTGCGTGGTGTGCAAGGGTCGAGGGTCAGAGCAGGGTTGGGCTCTGTGGGCACAGGGCAGCATTGGGGTGCCTGGTGAAAGAGTGGGGAGCAGCCTTGGGGTGCTGGTGGGTGTGGGGGGCTGTGTTGGTGTCTTGTCTTGTGTTTGTACTCTGTGAAACGGCTGCGTGGGAATAAAAAGTGTTGTAATCCTTCGTAAGCACCGGGTCCTGTGTGATGGGGGTGAGGATGGCGAGCGGCAGCAGGGCCTGCAAGGACACCAATGAGTCCCTGGGAGGGAGGGACAGGGAGTTTTGGGGGGCCAGGCAGGGGCACACCAGGGCTGAGGTTGTGGCTGGAGTGTGGGTTGCTGTGGGGTGGGCTGGGATGTAGGGCAGAAGGAGCAGAGGAGATTTGGGTTCTGGGGCAGGAGGACAGCTGGTTCCCTTGCCTCAAGACAAGATGTCAGGCAACAGGATGTCATGGACTCTGCTCTGCTTGTTCTCTGCCTCTCAGCTCCCTCTCTGTGCCCTCTGTGTGTGTGTTAGCTCTGAATTCTCTCCTTTGCTCCCTGTGACTGCCTCTCTGCTGCCCCATTCCCCCATCTCTGCTCCTCTTCTCTCTCCTGTCTGTCTCTGCTCTCTGCCCTCACTCTGTGCCCTCTCTGTGCCCCTTTGCCACCTTCTCCTGTCCCCGCTGTGCCACTCTCAGCTGGCTGCCGTCTCTCTTTGTACCTCTTTGCCCCCTTTCTCCCCATATTTGCTCTCTGCACCTCCCTCTTTGCTCTCCAGCTCTCCCATCTCCTTGCCCCGGGCCATGTCTCACCCTCATCTCAGCTTTAATTAACGAGCTGCTGAGGGAGGGCAGCAGAGCGGCTGTGCTGCACCCGAGGGAGCTCTGGGGGGACACCCTGAGGATGGAGAGGACCCCCGGGGCACTGAGGGGTGAGCAGGGAAGGAGAAGAATTCCCCAAAATCCTGAGGGGACCGCGGAGCTCCGCACGCCCCGCCCCGCCCGCCTCAGGCCACGCCCCAGTCACGCCCCCGGCCACGCCCCACCCGTGACTCCGCCTCTTTCTACGCACTGACGTCACCGCCCGAGGTGGCGCGAGCTCCTCCGCCGGTGACGTCACGTGGCGCTACCGCGCGGCCCCGCCCCCGCCCCGCCCCCGCCCCGCGCCGCTCCGGGACCCCGGGCAGGTACCGGGATGGGGGGCGGGGTACCGGGGTACCGGGGTACCGGGGCATTGGGATACCGGGGTCATCGGGATCATCGGGGTACCGGGACATTGGGGTACAGGGGTACCGGGTACCGGGGCATTGGGGTACCGGGGTCATTGGGGTAACGGGGTACCGGGTACCGGGACATCGGGGTACCTGGGTCATCGGGGTACCGGGTACGGGGTACCGGGGTCATCGGGTACCGGGGTACTGGGATCATCGGGGTACCGGGACATCGGGGTACCGGGGTTACCGAGGCATTGGGGTACCGGGGTCATCGGGGTACCGGGTACGGGGTACCGGGTACCGGCGTCATCGGGGTACCGGGGCATCGGGGTACTGGGGTCATCGGGGTACCGTGGTACGGGGTCATCAGGGTACCGGAGTACTGGGTACGGGGTACTGGGGTAGTGGAGTACAGCGGAGCGGGGTACTGGGGTACGAGGTACCGGGGTCCAGGGGTACCGGGGTGCGGGGTGTTGGGGTGCTGGCGGGGTACCAGGGTACTGGGTACCGGGGTGCGGGGGTGCCAGGGCACAGGGTGCCAGGGTACCAGGTACTGGGGTCACCAGGGTGCAGGGTACCGGGGTGCGGGGTACCGGCGTACCATGTACCGGGGGTCACCGAGAGGGGGACACCACCAGCAGGGCCCCCATGGGCCGCTGCGCCCCCCACCAGCGCCGCCCTCCCTGTTCCCAGCACCCGCTTCCTGTGTCCCCGCCGCTGGCCATGCCACCTGCGGCTCCCGGACACGGTGACCCTCCCTTGGCACCCGCCCTGCCCGGGGAACTGCCCCGCAGGGCACGGAGCGGAGCCCGGTGCCCATGTGCTTCCCCAAAAGGGGGTTTTGCACCCCAGAGCCACGTCCCGCTGTCACCCGAGCTGCTGCCATCCTCAGCCCGCTGTCCCCTGCCACCCACATCCCACTGTCACCCATCCCCCTGTCCCCCACATCCTGCTGTCCCCTGCCACCCACATCCCACTGTCACCCATGCCACTGCCACCCACATCCCGCTATCACCCGTGCTGCTGCCACCCTCAGCCCGCTGTCCCTTGCCACCCACATCCCACTGTCCCTTGCCACCCACATGCAGCTGTCCCCTACCCTCCTCATACCGCTGTCCCCTGCCACCCAAGGCCCACTGTCCCCTGCCACCCACATCCCACTGTCCCCCATGCTGCTGCCACCCACATCCCACTGTCCCTGCCATAAGTGCCCCCTCCCACAGAACAGGGCACAAAATTAGGTGAGTCCCCCACCTGTGCATCCTCCACTCTTTACACCCACAGCCTGCGTGTCCCAGATTTGCCTCCCAGCGCCGGCTGAGGCGACCCAGCCAGACGGACGGCATGCCAGCCCTGCCAACCCCTGCCCACAGCCCGCCGGGATCCCGGTTTCCGGTGGCCCTGTGGCTCTGGGACATCTTCGAGCAGTCGCAGCAGCTCTTTCTCCTGCAGGATCCACCATGGATCTGGTGCTGGAAGCCGCGGACCGGCACCTGCTGACGCCCTACGTGTACCCGGCGGGGTGGCCCGAGGGCGAGCCCTGCCGCCAGCTCCTCAGCCTGTTTGTCATCACCAACCTGGGCGCCCTCGCCCTCTACCTGCTCTTCGGCACCCTCAGCTACTACTTCATCTTCGACCACGAGCTCAAGAAACATCCCCAGTTCCTGGAGGTGGGTGCTCCCTGCTGGCTCCTCACCCAGGCCCTGCTGGCACTGTCCCCCTCGCCATCCCAAATGTCCCCTGCCCGTGTGGCACGGGCTGTCCCCGCTGTCACACCCACCCCTCTCCGCCTGCTGTTGCCCTCCATCATCCCTGACCGCAGGAATTGTCACAGCCCACAAACCCCAACCCCAGTGTGAGCCCTGCCCCAGACACAGCGCCCCACATGAGCAGCGCCCTGCGTCCCACACTTGGCACAGCTGCCGTGACAAAGGGGTGGCCAAGGTGCCAGCCCTCCCAGCCTTATGAGGAACTTTGGGCTCTCAGATGTCCCCTGACCCCTGTTGCCACACCCCACAGAACCAGGTGAGTCAGGAGATGTCCCCTGTCCCCTGACCCCTCTTGCCACACCCCACAGAACCAGGTAGAGATGTCCCCTGTGCCCCGACCCCTGTTGTCACACCCCAGGTGAGCTAGGAGATGTCCCCTGTCCCCTGACCCCTCTTGCCACACCCTACAGAACCAGAAGGAGATATCCCCTGTCCCCTGACCCCTCTTGCCACAGAACCAGGTGAGCCAGGAGATGTCCCTTGTCCCCTGACCCCTGTTGCCACAACCCACAAAACCAGTGGAGATGTCCCCTGTGCCACACCCCAGAGAAGCAGTGGAGATGTCCCCTGACCCCTGTGCCACACCCCACAGAACCAGGTGAGCCAGGAGATGTTCCCTGTCCCCTGACCCCTGTGCCACACCCCACAGAACCAGTGGAGATGTCCCCTGACCCCTGTGCCACACCCCACAGAAGCAGTGGAGATGTCCCCTGTCCCCTGACCCCTGTTGCCACACCCCACAGAAGCAGTGGAGATGTCCCTTGTCCCCTGACCCCTGTTGCCACACCCCACAGAACCAGGTGGAGATGACCCCTGTGCCACAACCCACAGAAGCAGTGGAGATGTCCCCTGTCCCCTGACCCCTGTGCCACACCCCACAGAAGCAGTGGAGATGTCCCTTGTCCCCTGACCCCTGTTGCCACACCCCACAGAACCAGGTGGAGATGACCCCTGTGCCACAACCCACAGAAGCAGTGGAGATGTCCCCTGTCCCCTGACCCCTGTGCCACACCCCAGAGAAGCAGTGGAGATGTCCCCTGTCCCCTGACCCCTGTTGCCACACCCCACAGAAGCAGTGGAGATGTTGCCTTTCCCCTGACCCCTGTGCCACACCCCAGAGAAGCAGTGGAGATGTCCCCTGTCCCCTGACCCCTGTGCCACACCCCACAGAACCAGGTGAGCCGGGAGATCGCCTACGCCGTGCGCTCCCTGCCCTGGATCAGTGTCCCCACGGTCGCCCTGTTCTTCGCCGAGGTGCGGGGCTACAGCAAACTCTACGACAACATCGAGGACTCCCCGTATGGTGAGTGACCTCCCTGCCACAGCAGTGTCCTCTGCCAACCTGGGTCACCTCCCTCAGCCCCCATTTCTCCTGATGACAACCCCGAAAAATCCTCTTGGGTACCTCCTGTCCCGCCTGACAGCCAAAACCCCAAACTGGCATTAGGGTAGGTGCCCAGACACCCTCACTCGGGGTTGTGTTCCCCTGCTTGACGCACTCCACCCTCCACAAGAGATCCTTCCCTTCCCTGGGCACGGCTCCCAGTGAAACAGCACCTGACTCACCTGCCCTGAGTCACAGGGGACAGCCTGGCACTGTCCCCTCAGTGGGGCAGCCCCTGACGTGACTCAGATGTGTCTCCCACCACGAGGACTGTTGTGGAGACCCTCACAGCCTCCTGATGCCCACATGTGCCACCCCTAACAACCCTGTCCCCCCTCAGGCTGGTCTGGTGTCTTCCTCAGCATGCTGTCCTTCCTCTTCTTCACTGACATGGGCATCTACTGGATACACCGTGGTCTCCACCACAAGCTGTTCTATAAGGTATGGGACAGGACAGGGGGCTCTGGACAAGAGTCCTTGTCCTGCTCTGGTGACATTTCCAAGCTGCATGCTCGGGTGGGAATGGCTGAACGAAACGTCACCATGTGATGGGAGCTGAGAGGCCTTTAGGGCACGTGTCCCCCTCTCAGTTTGGGTGCTGGTGGCCCAAACAGCATCCCTTGGGGCCATGAATGTGGCTGGGGGACCCTCTAAAAGGGCCACCCCGACTGACAGCCCCCTGTCCCCGCAGCGCTTCCACAAGCCCCACCACCTGTGGAAGATCGCCACGCCCTTCGCCAGCCACGCCTTCCACCCCGTGGACGGCTTCATGCAGAGCCTGCCCTACCACATCTACCCCTTCCTGTTCCCCCTGCACAAAGTCACCTACCTGGGCCTCTACATCTTCGTCAACGTCTGGACCATCTCCATCCACGACGGCGACTACCGCGTGCCGCGGCTGCTGCGGCACGTCATCAACGGCTCTGCCCACCACACCGACCACCACCTGTACTTTGACTACAACTACGGGCAGTATTTCACCCTCTGGGACAAGATTGGTGGCTCTTACAAGAGCCCCACGTCCTTCGAGGGCAAAGGCCCCCACGATTACTTGCGCAAGCTCCGGGAGAAAAACGCGGCAGCGCCCAACGGCATCGGGGCCTCCAAGAAAGATCCAGGAGAATCCAACGGCATCGGGGCCTCCAAGAAAGATCCAGGAGCATCCAACGGCATCAGGGCCTCCAAGAAAGATCCAGGAGAATCCAACGGCATCGGGGCCTCCAAGAAAGATCCAGGAGCATCCAACGGCATCAGGGCCTCCAAGACTGACTAGGCTTCCTCCAAGTGTGTCCCTTTTCTGCCTGGATCTTGTCCCATTCCTCACCAGCCACCCAAGACTGTTTCTCACAGACAAAGAGCCCCTGTCCCTGATGATGTGACCAGCGTGGGGTGACCGGCCCCGGTCCCAAAACGGTGGTGCCCGGCCTTGCTCCACACCACAGATCTGCCCTGGTTTTCCTCCTGCTCCCCCTCCCAGCTCCCTTTGGATCTCTGCTAAGGTCCCTGCGCTGCTTTAGTGCTGTGCTGATGCTCTACAGGAAGAATAACGTGGCACAAATAGAACAGTAACGTGGCACAAATTAACTTGTGGCAGGGTCTTTGTCCCACTGCCACACCCCTTTGTTGACGATTCATTTTTCCCATCATGGTGTCCATCGGGATGAGCTGTATTTTAGGAAAAAACCTTACCTTTTGGAGGTGGTGTGGCTTCTTCTGATGGCTCCCTTGGTGGGACTTCTTGCACTCAACCTCCCTCCTCTCGCCCGGGGATGTCCCATGGAAACATCATGCCTGTAGGACAGAGGCAGGCTTTGTGTCTTGTGGGTCTCTCAAGCTCCCTGGGAACACTGAGGGGGAAGGGAGGAGGACCAGGCACCCAGATGTGAGGGGCAGGGGCTTCTCCTCACTCAAGGGCTCGTGGCCAGCTTCCCTCCTTAAGGGCCTGTGTGTTTCCTGCTGAAATCTGGTCACCCCACCTTTGGGGCGGCCCATGTTCAATAAATCTCAGTTGCCAACTTGCCTCATGCTTGGTCCCTTCTCCCTGGCTCATGCAAAGTCTCCTGGGGCAGCCCTACAGCACCCATGAGGGGCTTGGCACAGACCCCTGCTGTGCTGGCAGCAAATTTGGGCCAAAACAGCAGAAGATGGGCAAAATACAGTCAGAGTGGCCAGAGCCACCTCCAGTGCCCCAAACCCCCTTAGGTGTAACCGTGTCCCTGCACAGTGACACCTGTGCTGTCCCACCCCCTGCTCCCCCAGTGTCACCAGTCCCTTCTGCCCCTCCTGGGGATGGAGGCCCTTCTGTGAGTGCCTTGCTGTGGTGACAGCCCCTCTGCTCCTCATCCAGCCTCAGCTGTCCCCAGGCAGGGCATGGCCCGAGGCCACCACGCCCCTGGGTCCTGGCGAGCACAAGGGACACTGTCCCACGCTCTGCCTTCACCTTGTCACCAGCCCATCCCAGCTTGCTCTCCCCACGTGGACAGCACCCCTGACCTCTGTTTGCAGATTAACCCGGGGCCTGGAGCACTGCCTGGGGTCAAGCACAGCCCAGATCAAACAGGGTGACACCATCAGACCTTGGCCACCCTGATTCCCAATCCACTCTTGGGGAAAAGCCCCAGACTTCTCATCACCCCATCCTTCCACCATAGCTGAGCCTAACACTGGGTACCCCATTTTGGCAGCTTTGGGACAGACAGTGACCCTCGGCAGCTGCGTCCTTGCAGGGCAGTAAAGTCCTAGGATGGAATTGCATCACTCCTGGTGCCCAGTGCACCCTCCCACAGCCCTTCTGCCAAACACCGGGCACTGCCCTCGGCACCTGGCACTCCCCTCGGGATGGATCTGGAGTGCCCCAGCTCCGGGACACAGGGAGATTGTGGTCACACACCCTGTGACAAAACTGCCAGCACAGGGAGATCGTGTCCTGCCTTGTCACACACGTCCCATGCCAAGGCTGATGGCACAGGGAGATCTTGTCCTGCCTGTCACACCCCCGTGCCAAGGCTGCTGGCACAGGACACGTCCCCTCGGTGGCCTTGGGGCACGGAGAGCCCAGCTCTGGCTCTGGTCCCCTGGTGCTGCTGTTGCCACAAGATGGGGATGTTGCTCATGACAGCACTCGCTGCAGCTGCACCTGCGTGGATGCCCTTCCTCCTCCTCCTCCTCCTCATTCCCCCAGCGCGGGGCAGGACACACACGGGGTGTCCCTGTTCCATGACCCCATTCCTCATGCTTTTCCTGGCATCAGAGCCTTTCCTGCTGATTTGTCTGCAATAGCTTCCCTGTCCCACCCCACTCAGAGCATTTCCTTCCCCCCTTCACCCCCACACTGCTCTGCCACAGGGCAGTGCCATCCCCCTCAGAGAGACCCCAGCACACAAAGTGACCCATGGTGTGTGAACGCAACAATTGGGTGTCTCTGACACAGCCCTGAGCCCTGCAGGAAACCCTACAACCATCATCATCCTCTGAGGAAGGCTCTGAGGGCAGTGCCGTGGGCAGGGTGCTGCCTCTGGCTCCTGGCATCCCTGTTCTGCTCCCTGATTCCACCCCAGCAACAAGCAGTGGTTCCTTTAAGCAGCTTTATATGGCTCTGTGGGGAACGGCTGCTCCAGCCCCTCAGTCCCCTAAACCCTCTGGGACCTCTAAAGCTGAGACAGGGAAAGGTCTCAAGGAAGAGGGGAAGGAAAACCAGGGGGCCAGGGGCTCCTCACCTTGCTCTTGGAGTTCACAGCTTTTGCTGCTGATGAAATCCAGATGGACCTTAAAATAAACTCTGCACTGTTCCCCTCTCCCCTTTACGTCTCTTTTCAAGAAACAAAAAATACCTTGGCAGGGGAAACGTGTGTTTCCCTGCACAAAGAAAGAGCCATTCATCTGTGGGCTGGGCTCACCCAAGAGCTCCTGGCTGAAGCTCTCTCCGTGTGCCCACCACAGGAGCTCACAGGGGCACAGGGACCCCTTCTTGCACCCTGCAAGAAGTGTGAAACAAGGGCTGGAAGAGAGAAAACAAACCCCCCCAAACACCATTTTCCTCCATTTAGCACCTCAGCAAAGGCACTTCCTCATTTCCTCCTATTTCTTATTCTATTCCTCATCTCTGGGTTCTTTTTGAGTCCTTCTCATCTGGGAAGAGCATCTCATCCCAGAGAGAACGGGCTGCAGGGATTCCTACACAACAGAACTCCCTCACTGCCTCTGCCCAGAGCCACGGTGACCTCCTGTCCTCCAGGGGGACATCACTCGGAGTCACAACCTCTAGAAGCCTTATTAGGAGGGCTTCTAATTGTATTGACCTGCTAATTGAAATACACTAACTGGGTTTCTAGGTGAAAGCACCTCGGGGAAAGGTCTGGACAACATTCCTGCTATTAAGACAAGTGGAAAAAGGGGGAGCAAGGCTGCCTTAGGGCTGTCCATGGGATTTCCCATTCCTTCACTGCTGGGCCACATCCTTTTGTGTTGTTGTTGTTGGAAATGCTGGAATGGTGCAGGTGAGGCAGAGGGGTTGAAAGCCATCAGTGTGTTCTCAGTGCCTCGGAGACACAAGAGGCCTGAGCCATTTCTTAGCAGCAGGATCATGCCTATAAACCACCTCTGCAGGAGGTGATGCTGGGTTGGTTATGCAGGGGCAGCACAGGACTGATGCCAGTGGCCACAAATCTGATTTATTGGGGCAGCTCAAAGTGCTGGGCTCTGGGATTCCTTGCAAAAAAACAACTTAGAGAGACAAGCTGGGGCTGAGCAACAGGCACAGCTCACCTTTCCTGTCGTCTCCCAGTGTCATTTTGTCATCTCCCAGTGTCATTCGAATCTCCTGCCTCAAATCCTTGCTCCCCCTTCCCATCCCTGCCCTGCACACACAAGCCCCAGGCAGGGATGGGATAAATTTCTTTCTGCAAGGGATGCTCAGTGACCAGGGGAGCAGCACCAGGGGAATCCCAGAGTCCAGCGCTTTGAGCTGCCCCAATAAATCAGAGTTGTGGCCACTGGCATCAGTCCTGTGCTGCCCCTGCATAACCAACCCAGCATCACCTCCTGCACTTTGGTGATTTATGGGCATGTTGCCTGTGCCAAGTGCTCTGTGGGAAGCACACGGGCACTGGCACGGCTCAGACACACCTGCCATGGGTGGGAGAGGTGGCAGAAAGCCCTGGAGAGATGCTGGGGGTCTTTGTTTTCCTACTCCCACCATGTCTTGCTCACCATCTCAACTCTGCCCAGATAAAAAGATGGCAGAAATAGACAATTTCCACTGTCCCAGGTTGCTCCAAGGTCCATCCAACCCAGCCTTGGACAATTCCAGGGATGGGGCAGCCCCAGCTTCTCTGGGCACCCTGTGCCAGGGTCTCACCACCCTCACAGGGAGGAATTTCTTCCTCACATCCAATCTAACCCTGCTCTTCACCAGTCTGAAGCCTTTCCTCTTTGCCCTGTCACTCCACACCATCCTAAAAAGCTTCTTTACTTCGACACAGTTTCCTTCCATTCAGCTCCTTCAACTTGATTTCCGGCTGCCTCATTTCTTTTTACTCCGTTTCACAGAGAATAACTTGAATTTATTATTTCGCCCCATCTCGACGGGCACCTCCAGAGAGGGAGAGGGAGAAAAAAGAAGAAGAGGAGAAAGAGCAGAGGAAAGGAGAGGAAGCACAGGGAGAGGGGGGCCGAGCTTTAGTCCATTTCACAGAAATGAAGCAGAACTTATTTCACTCCATCTCACGGGGGAGCCGAGCATCCTCCGGGGAGGGCGAAAAAGATGGAGAGGGAGGAAAAGAGGAAAAGAGGAAAGAGAAGAGCGAGAAGCAGCAGAGAAGAGGAGAAGAGGAAAGAGAAGAGTGAGAAGCAGCGGAGAAAAGAGGAAAGCAAAGAGCGAGAAGCAGAGGAAAAGAGGAAAAGAGGAAAGTGAAGAGCGAGAAGCAGAGGAGAAGAGGAAAAGAGGAAAAGAGGAAAGTGAAGAGCGAGAAGCAGAGGAAAAGAGGAAAAGAGGAAAGCGAAGAGCGAGAAGCAGCGGAGAAAAGAGGAAAGCGAAGAGTGAGAAGCAGCGGAGAAGAGGAAAAGAGGAAAGCAAAGAGCGAGAAGCAGCAGAGAAAAGAGGAAAGCGAAGAGCGAGAAGCAGCGGAGAAGAGGAAAAGAGGAAAGCGAAGAGCGAGAAGCAGCGGAAAAGAGGAAAGAGAAGAGCGAGAAGCAGAGGAGAAGAGGAAAAGAGGAAAGAGAAGAGCGAGAAACAGCAGAGAAAAGAGGAAAGAGAAGAGTGAGAAGCAGCGGAGAGGAGGAAAAGAGGAAAGAGAAGAGTGAGAAGCAGCAGAGAAGAGGAAAAGAGGAAAGCGAAGAGCGAGAAGCAGCGGAGGAGAGGAAAGAGAAGAGCGATAAGCAGCGGAGAAGAGGAAGAGAGGAAAGAGAAGAGCGAGAAGCAGCGGAGAAAAGAGGAAAGTGAAGAGGAGAAGCAGCGGAGAAGAGGAAAAGAGGAAAGTGAAGAGCAAGAAGCAGAGGAGAAGAGGAAAAGAGGAAAGAGAAGAGCGAGAAGCAGCGGAGAAGACGAAAAGAGGAAAGAGAAGAGCGAGAAGCAGCAGAGAAAAGAGGAAAGAGAAGAGCGAGAAGCAGAGAAGAGGAAAAGAGGAAAGCGAAGAGCGAGAAGCAGAGAAGAGGAAAAGAGGATACCAGAGAGCGAGAAGCAGAGGAGAAGAGGAAAAGAGGAAAGCGAAGAGCGGGAAGCAGCGGAGAAGAGGAAAAGAGGAAAGAGAAGAGCGAGAAGCAGCGGAGAAGAGGAAAAGAGGATACCGGAGAGCGAGAAGCAGTGGAGAAGAGGGGAGGGGGCCGGCGGGGAGCGGCGGGGGGGCGCAGCGCTGCCCATGCACATTCTCTCCGGGCGGCGGCGCGGCTGCCGCTCCGCTCCTCCCGGCCCCGCTCCGCTCCGCTCCGCTCCGCCCGGCCCCGGCGGCACGAACATGGCGACACGGAGCTCTGGCGGGGCCGGCCCGCTCCCCCGCCGGCTGCTGCCGCTCCTGCCGCTGCTG